TATCAATGAACACTTGCAGGTGTACTCAATGAACTCATTCAGGTATACTCAATGAACACATACAGGTGTACTCAATGAACACATGCAGGTGTACTCAATGAACACATGCAGGTGTACTCATTGAACACATGCAGGTGTACTCAATGAACGCATGCGGGATTAAACTGAAAGCAACGTGTTTTATTCCTGTCAGGCAGTGGCCAGGACAGGAGCAGATGAGAGGTGTGTTTAGTACATGTAGGAAGGCGGCTGGGTGAAGTCGTCATGGGTTGGCGTTAGGTGGTTCAGTAAGTTTTTTAGTGTATAATATAGGTGTTTGTGTTTATGTGCTCTCATGTTTATTTGTAAGGCCCTAATATGCAGAGGCCTGTTTATGCGAGAGTACTGTATGGTGTTTTGTCTGCTGGTAATTAGTCTACCAGACAGAAGTGAAGATGGGGGTGTGTATGTCATGGAACCTCCCAGATGATTTACTTTGTTTAACTCATTAGTAGCAGTGTGTTAGTGCGCTAATGTGAACTGGAGTGTGGTGTTTTTTTGTAGTATAGTTATAAGTTGTATATAAGTTAGTATTAATACAGATATATTTTTATATAGGTGAGTTTTTGTCCTTCCTTCCTAATAATTAATATTGTTTAATATAAGAGTACATGCTGGCCCAGAGTTGCTGTGTTTTTCAGAGTAATTTTATAACCCCTAGACAGCAGTGTGAGCAGCCTTTAGGAGCCAGGACCATTTTATTTAAGTTGCGACTTCAAAGTCGTAACACCTCCTAATTCGACCACAACGGAATGTGAAATTCAAGTGGTTAGGTGCAGATTTAAACATTCTGTAAAATAATATATGCATGGCTTCAGTATTTAATGCCTGATGTATCTTTTGGCCAGGAGAGAAGTCATTCTGCTTAGCTAGTATTGGCAGATTTGTCAGGGCAATAATTAAAAAAAAACTTGAAATAGTTGGAATTCTCATCAAATGGGATTAACAGCCTGGCTAATCAGGCTGCTCCTCTAAGAAACCTGATCAGAGACCAGGCCACGTGAGTCTTGACTTCCGGAAACGTCCTTTACGTATCTTAATCGAAAAATATTAAAAACACGTGTTTTTGCAGTGTTTTTAAATTTCCTGAGTTGAGTAAATCATTAAATAGTGAGCAGTGTGATGCCACAACCATCCGTCTGTTAGGTACAGTTCTTCATACCATCTAAAGTTTTCATTTATAACTTCAAAATGCCTTATCCAATCCGCTTCAAAATTGATACCCTGTGCTCATATTGGTCTCACAGGCCGTAAAAGTACTTGGGAAAAAAATTAAAAAATAATAGAAAATAGTACCTAAAAAAATAAATAAAGTAATACCAGGTGATCGGCAGTCGGAGATATTACCATATACTGGGCATTTTCTGTCAACTTCACGCCTCCATATCTCAGTAAGTATTGATGGTAAAAAATTTTTGTTTAGCCTATAAGATTTAAAAAAAACCTCTATCTTTTCATAAGAAAAAATAATTTTTTTTTTTTTTAAATTTTGGCGACCCTGAGAACAAGTCTCGGAGAGGGCCTGGCGACCCTGAAAGGGTTAAGACTACAAATGTTTTAAGGTAAATACAGTGTCTACTGTATATGCATTTTATCGCTCTAGGGAGCTTTAAGCATCGTAGTATAGTATGTGTGGGTGGAGTTGCCAGGAGGGCTACCACCCCTGACTTCTTAAGAGTAAATACTACTCACCTTTTGCCCTCCATTAAGACTACATATATTTTGAGGTAAATAATGAGTGTACTGTGTGTATTTTACTTCTTAATACCTAGTTCTACTGCTAACTTAACATAGGTTACTGTAAACTTGTTATCTGGCATTTATATGCATTTACAAATGGAAAAAATGGAGTTCTGCTTTTCGGCAAAGTCTGCTTTCCGGCAGTAGCCTGGAACCTAACCTGCCGAATAAGTGGGGCCCTACTGTATATTAGAATGTGGTACAGGGTAAGGAGTGTCATTTGTGGTACATTGTATCATATCTTGTAAAGGATTCCTATTGATTTGGAAATTTTCTTGGCTATGTGATGGGTGTGGGACTGAAATTTAAGATTCCAGTCAAGGAGAAGACCTAGAAATTTGCCCTCCATGTGTCTTGATACAGAGGAACCATTAATCAATATGTTAAGTTGGATATTTAAAGCTCTGTTGCCAAACAGCATGAAGTATGTTTTGTCTATGTTGAGAGTGAGTTTGTTGGTCATCATCCAAGTATATATCTTTATCATTTCATTGTTTACAGTGTTTCTAAGTACAGCTGGGTCTGAATGGGAGTAGACATATGTAGTGTCATCTGCGAATAGAACTGATTTAAGGAGTTGGGATGCATTGGGGAGATAATTGATGTAGATGAGAAAGAAGAGTGGGCCTAGGACACAACCCACTACCCAAGACAGAGTAGAATGAGGTCAGGATCTGGCGCTCCCCCATATCATATTAATATACGCTACGGTGGCCCGGTGGCCTGGTGGCTAAGTGGCCCGGTGGCCTGGTGGCTAAAGCTCCCGCTTCACACACGGAGGGCCAGGGTTCGATTCCTGGAGGGTGGAAACATTTCGACACGTTTCCTTACACTATTGTCCTGTTCACCTAGCAGCAAATAGGTACCTGGGTGTTAGTCGACTGGTGTGGGTCACATCCTGGGGGACAAGATTGAGGACCCCAATGGAAATAAGTTAGACAGTCCTCGATGACGCACTGACTTTCTTGGGTTATCCTGGGTGGCTAACCCTCCGGGGTTAAAAATCCAAACGAAATCTTATTCTTATTCTTAAGACATCAATCAAGCTTGTTCATTCTCCAGATCTATCACCACCGAACCCCAAGACACTATGAGATAACTTTATAAGTGGAAAGGACCCAGGAATTTTCAATACCCTCCTCCATACACAATAAAAATTACCTACAGACCCCTATATGTAAAGGGAGAGCTTCATAAGTTCTTTATCAGATGGGCTGTAGTGCCTACAATGGAGTGCATGTGGCTAGTACCAACAACCTGATTCATCAGACCATCAACCAAGAGACCTAGTCCAAAACCGGGCAGCGGGGACCACGATCCCCCTTCCCCGAGTTGATAATGGGTAGTTTATCCGGGAAGTATAGATTTGTCTGTAAAAACCTGCATTTGTGGTCACAGTGAGGCCCATGCTGACCTCCCTATGGTGAATAAATATACCTTGTTGGATGAATCAAAGTGTAGTCAGCTGGTCAAGTGGCTTATGCACTGGCATGGAGTTTTACAACTCACTCACCATGGGCTCAAACCCCACCCGTTCTGTAGTTTGTCCTAGAAAGTATAGTCCTGCTCTACAAGTACAGTATATATGTTGGCCTATGTGTATAATTTGAGTCATAAGGGCTATAGGAAGAATAACCATAAAAGTTATAAACACAGTACTACATTAGTTATTCTATGAGCTTCTTATTTCACACTGGCAAGACGAAAGTAAATCCCTATATAGTTGTTGATGTAAAGTATAAGAGTGTGATGAGCGGAGAGCCCTGACACCATCTTGTTTTGGCTATCCTGATGATAGCATAGCCAAAGCAACACATGTCTACATTCTGACAGCACTTGCAACATCATGCCACACAAGGGGGCTCAGTTAGCCTCACATTCATGCCAAACATAACCCTTGCGTCCAACTCCCAGTATGTGTTATGCTCAACCTTGGTGTCCACCAGTACACAAATGTCACTAACAAAGTATTCGCAATGAAACTTCCTACTAGATATGTGAGGTGTTATTAATAGGTCACCTGAACGATAAAGTAAACACTGGTATTAAAGTAAAATCTTCAAAAAGATGATGGTTGTTTAAGTTGGTTACTATATACCTTGCAGCAGCGTCGCCTCACATCCGGGCAGTTCTCGGGCTGAACACTCCGGAATAGTTACCTCTGAAAAGTTTTTCTAAAGGGTGTAAAGACGTGTGAGAGCTACGGACGTTTCAACTAAGTGACCTTCTGAGATTAATCTAGTTAGGTCCAAGACAACCTGCTTTAAATTTAAATGGTCAAGCCTAAAAGTCTTAGGCTAAAACGTCCGAAGCAGAGACTTCGAGCACTTATATATATAAATATATATTTTACATATTTTAAATCTTAAAACATTTATTACATGTGAAGTGTTCACCAGCGAAACTTTGGAGGAACATCTTGTGTATGATGTGTAGTAACAAACACAGATTAAGAGTAGTCAACGTGTCATTGTGATGACTTCACTAAGCAGGGACTTGGCCTGTATCATTGGCCTATCATTATCAAACACATCACATCACAAGACCAGCATGCACAGTAAAAAGCAGTGTGTCAAAATTATTGTAAAATTACACGATAACACCAACAAGACCAAATGTCTCTCCTAAATCTTATAAATAATTCCAGGGGGGATGGGGAGTGGGAAGGGTATGCAAACTTATTGATTCTTACTAATCGCATTAAGAAAAACAATAAACTACAGTATTCCAAAGTGGGCAGAAGAAATTGGGAACGCCATGAGCATATATAATGAACACGTTCATACTAACTTTATAATAAAAATTCAAAATTAACCCTGCTATACTTGAGGCTAAAACACATAAACAAGCCCTTTTTAATAGTAAACAGGCCTTGTATATACCAAGAGCCCCTTATATAGTATTGAGGCTTGGCAAATATCAAGAAGCTGTGCGTGCAGGAGACGAAAAGATAGATAAGTAATCAATTTGAATAAAACATCCAAACTGACCCTGACTCCATCGCGGGAGACGTGTTGTGGGGACGAGTTGGTCCTGACACGCAGCTGACGGTAGGGGTGATGGTAGCTGTGTGGTAGTGGCAGTCGTAGGGGGTTGGAGCCGTAGCAAGGGCAACCTTCACAACCTCTCTCCTACACACTGGTACGGCAGGACAGGTAACAACCCGTAAGAGGCAGCCACCGTCCCAGATTCCTCAACAATGAAGAATCCAGCCTCGATCTCTCGTTTTTTGTTGAAATTCTAGTCCGGTCACAGTCGGCATTAAAAAACGGTTCTTTTGCTATATGTTCCTATTTTTTTTTTCAGTTTTCAGTTCTATGTCCAAGATTTACTTTTCTAGTTTCTCAATAACTTTTTTTCACAATCAACAATACACCTAATATCACCACACTGGTTCAGATCCTGTGACTTATTCACTGCCTTTCCTGTACGGGATTAACACCACCATCATTAGCATTACAACACAGTCTACAAGTTTAAATGGCAGTAACCTTGCAAAAATAGACAACCCTAAAACTATTCAAAAGAAATTATCATATACTATATTTATTCTAAAAACATTAAATAACATGCTATCAGAACCATTAAATTCCTATGTCCAACACAGCAATTTGAAAAGTACAAAAAACGATGTTTCGGTTCATCCTATACAATTATCCAGACATGAGTGAAAACGCCTGTATTTTGTCTTCCCTACCTCTAATTTCAACAATACCCTTCGCCCTCTGTAAATTAAATTTACATTTTGTTAGATCATGACACCGGTGCAATTTTGAATTTCACACAAAATTTAACTTTAGAAACCTAACCTCCCCTTGCTGAATTATCATAATATAATTCAGCTTAACCCTAACCAATCACTGTACTACACAGTAAAGGAAGGAATCATGTAGGATCAAACTGTCACATGTCCTAGGGTAAACATACTAACCACTGCACCCCACGTATTAAAGAAAGTACAATCGATACTTCTAAATGAATTCATCTGGGAACCAATGAATTCACTGGCTCTCCAGATTCGTGATTTACAAATAACATGGTACAAACTTAGGTGTCATGTAAGACTTGTTCATATAATAGGAATGTAGGTGCATAAAAATAGTTTTTATTAATATTGGTAGAGTTACTGACAATATGTTAAGTAAATGGACACAAATGCAACTAATGTGACATTTTATTGTGGCAACATTTTGCTCTCCAGGAGTTTTATCAAGCTGTTATAAACAATACATGGACACAGAGGGTATATATAGGTATATATAGGCTATATATACCCTTTGTGTCCATGTACTGTTTGTAATGGCTTGATAACTCCTGGAGAGTGAAACGTTGCCACAATAAAATGCCACATTAGTTGCATTTGTGTTCATGTACCTAACATAAAAATAGTTACCTGGCACCTTAGCTGCTTAGGAAGATGTCTACAACTTAAGTTTACCTGCCGGTTCGGAGCCTTACACAATAGAAACTAGGAACAAAGGTTTGCACAGAGTTTACTAAAGTTTATGGTAATTGTCATGGTGAATATTACACAAATATAAATTTCTTCACCATGTTTAACCACAAAATGGCAGTCCCAAGGACATAAGTCATTCAATGGCTAATGGGATACCAAGAATTGCACAATATAACTAATAAACCAATGGAACAATGTTCACAAAAACTACATTAACAAAATAGTAATGACCAGGACAAAAACTGCATCCCAAAATTAGCCAGCTCAGTTGAGGAAGCTTCTGTAAGATTGTACAGTGGACTCCCTACCAACAAAGGCATCGTCTAACGAAGCATTTTAACGTAAAATTTTTGGCCCAACCAACGATGAAAAACTCGACTAACAACATTCGTCCCAAACATGTCCGCCTGTCTGTCCAGGCTGAGTGCGCCTCAGCTGCCCTGCCGTCAGCTAGTGTGCCATTGTTTACAAGCCAGGGCGGACGGTTTCACTCATACATGCGATATATTTTGTATTATTCCATTGTCTTTAGTGCTTGTAACTGCTATATAAGCCACCATGGGCCCAAAGAAAGCTTCAAGTGCCAACTATGTGGTAAAAATGGTGAGAAATACTATCAAACTACTACTATCGTACCACAGTCAGCTATTGCTGCATCACCATCAGCTGCTGCTGTACCACCGTCAGCTGCTGCTGTACAACGGTCAGCTGCTGCTGTTGCTGCACCACCGTCAGCTGCTGCTGTACCACCATCAGCTGCTGCTGTACCACGGTCAGCTGCTGCTTCTGCTGCACCACCATCAGCTGTACTACTCGAAGATGTGGAGAGAGTGTTGTTGGTGTGGCTTAACAAGAAACAATTTGCCCCAGAGGGTTAGCCACCCAGGATAACCCAAGAAAGTCAGTGCATCATCGAGGACTGTCTAACTTATTTCCATTGGGGTCCTTAACCCTTTCAGGGTCCGTCCCGTAGATCTACGGCTTTACGTTCAGGGTCCAAACCATAGATCTACGTCATGAGCTCAGCTCACTCTGATAAACTGTGAGTGGTACATTTGGGCCTAGATATGACAGAATACATCTATGTGGTATGTGTGCACCACATAAAACAGATCCTGCAGCACACTGTGTATAATGAGAGAAAAAACTGAAATCATGATTTTTCGATTAAAACAGCGACTTTGCAGTGTTTTTTCGTATGTTTTTTATAGTTGTATTTGCGATTTCTTGGTCTCATTTGATAGAATGGAAGATATGTTACAGAAATAGAGATGATTTTGATTGGTTTTAGCACTGGAAATGGCTTGAAACTGAGCTCAAAGTAGCGGAAATGTTAAATTTTTGCCAATATTCAAGAGTAAACAAACGACCTCACACATCTAATACACGTCAGCTGGTGGGTCTAATATGCATTCACAAATATGGTGATGATATTTATACAATTATTACAGTATTGCATAACAGTAAATCTTCTATTTTTTGGTGTGAATAAAAATTCATTATGTGAATAAAAAATCAAAATGGAATTTATTTGTAAAGCCTCAAAATGTAACTAATGAACAGAGGAAATGTTAGTTTAGTTCCAGGAATACCTACATTGTTTATTCTGGAGCCTATTTTGAAATTGGAATATTTTGAACTTTGTGTTAAATTGGCCAAATTAACAATTTCCGATCACTTTATTTTGTAGTTGAAACAGTTGACTTGGCGATTTCTTGTGCTCAATCGATAGAATAGAAGTAATACTAGTGAAATAGCTAAGAATTTGGTTGATTGGAATAATGTAATTGGCCTAAAATGGGAGTCAAAGTCGGCAAAATCGCCGATTCGTAAATATCGCTGACACATCAAAATTCGCGAGAGCATAATTTCGTCAATTTTCCACCAAATTTCGTACTTTTTGTATTATTACCTTCACAAAAAGATTCTCTACGATTTCATAAGAAAAAATAACAATTTTTTTTTTTTAAAATTCTTGGACACTGGTGCGTGACTTCAGATTTTGGCCTTGGACCCTGAAAGGGTTAATCTTGTCCCCCAGGATGCGACCCACACCAGTTGACTAACACCTAGGTGAACAGGAAATAATGCCTGGAACTAGTGCTTAAATTAGTGAATTTAAGGCCAGCAAAGGTTGGTTTGAGAGATTTAAGAATCGTAGTGGCATACACAGTGTGATAAGGCATGGCAAAGCTGAAAAATTCCAACCCCAACAAGTGTTCAATTGTGACGAAACAGGTCTGTTCTGGAAGAAAATGCCAAACAGGACCTACATTACTCAGGAGGAAAAGGCACTCCCAGGACACAAGCCTATGAAAGACAGGCTAACTCTCATGTTTTGTTGTAATGCTAGTGGGGATTGCAAAGTGAAGCCTTTACTCATGTATCACTGAAAATCCCAGTGTGTTCAAGAAAAACAGTGTCTCATCACTCATCAATACTCTTCAATAAAGGTAAGTGTCATTTTAGCATTTATTTATGTAGTTACTGTACATGTCTCATTGTTTTCTTTGTAGGGAAATGTATTTTTCATGAAATTTTTTTTTTAACACTTTTGGCTGTCTGGAATGGATTAATTGGATTTCCAATATTTCTTATGGGGAAAATTAATTCGACTAACGATAACTTCGCCTAAAGATAAGCTCTCTGGAACGGATTAATATCGTTGGTCGAGGGTCCACTATATTAGGCTCGAAATTAATAGCCAGTTAGAGTAAGGGGATGTCGTGCTCCTTCCTTAAGTGGATGTGGTATGACCTGACTAGGCTGGGTCGTTGATTTAAGCCAGGAGGTGACTTGGACCTGCCTTGCATGGGTCAGTAGGCCTGCTGCAGTGTTCCTTCTTTCTTATGTTCTTATGTAAATGTATCAATAACAGAAAGATTATCATGATACTAGGGTATAGTAAAACATCCACAAATTTGCAAAGTTCATCAAATACTTAGTGATGCAATATGTATTAAAATATAAAGTGGTTTAAAACTTAGATGCAAGGCAAATATTTCATCATGAGCTTTTACAAAAATACCAGGAGAGCAAAAAAAATTAATAAATGAGTTAAGAATGAATGGTGTACAGGAAACAAATATTATTGCAATAGCTGAGACCTGGCTTGATTTAAATGTTGCATAAACAATACTAAAAGGACAGAACATAATTCCATGTGAACAGAAACATCTGGAAATGCAGAGACTGTAGCTACAAGTCAGAATAAGATTTCTCTCCCCTGAGGGATGAATTTAGTGGGCAGTATGACTTACCACCATAAACGCAGTATATATCAGGCTAAACAGCTGACACGCCGGTGGTGGTGTTAACTCCATCACTGGCAGTATATACAAGAGAAAACTTAAACGTGTTTCACCAAAAATAATCTAAAAACTAAAGAAACAGATAGTCCAATTTCAATTTCTTGAAGGTCGTTGCAAGCTAATTTTTGATGCAAGAAGAATGTGTGTCACAAACCTGCTGGAGTTTTATGACAAAGTAACAGAAGTAAGACATGAGAGAGAGGGTGGGTTGATTGCATTTTCCTGTACTGCAGGAAGGCCTTCGACAAAGTTCCACACGAGAGATTAGTGCAGAAGCTGGAGGATCAGGCGCGTATAACAGGAAGGGCACTGCAATGGATCAGAAAATACCTGATAGGGAGGCAACAATGAGTCATGGTATGTGATGAGGTATCACAGTGGATGCCTGTGATGAGTGGGGTCCCACAGGGGTCAGTAATAGGACCAGTGCTATTTTTGGTATATGTGAATGACATGATAGAAGGGACAGACTCAGAAGTGTCCCTGTTCGCAGATGATGTGAAGTTAATGAGGAGAATTAATCCGATGAGGATCAGGCAGGACTACAAAGAGACCTGGACAGGCTGAACATGTGGTCCAGCAACTGGCTTCTCGAATTCAACCCAGCGAAATGCAAAGTCATGAAGATTGGGGAAGGGCAAAGAAGACCGTAGACAGAGTATAGGCTAGGTGGCCAAAGACTGCAAACCTCACTCAAGGAGAAAGATCTAGGGGTGAGCATAACACCGAGCACATCCCTGGAAGCACACATCAACCAGATAACTGCTGTAGCATATGGGCACTTGGCAAACCTGAGAATAGCATTCCGACACCTTAGTAAGGAATCATTCAACAAACTGTACACTGTGTACGTCAGGCCCATACTGGAGTATGCAGCACCAGTTTGGAACCCACACTTGATCAAGCAAGTCAAGAAATTAGAGAAAGTGCAAAGGTTTGCAACGAGGTTAGTTCTGGAGCTCAGGGGAATGTCCTATGAAGAAAGGTTGAAGGAAATCGGCCTGATGGCACTGGAGGAAAGAAGGATTAGAGGAGACATGTGTATGGTGTAGGAGGTAGGTTACTGAAAGCAGTGAAGAGTTTTTACGAGGATAGTGAGGCTCAAGTTAGAGTATGTAGGAAAGAGGGAAATTTTTTCCCAGTAAAAGTAGGCCTTAGACAAGGATGTGTGATGTCACCGTGGTTGTTTAATATATTTATAGATGGGGTTGTAAGAGAAGTAAATGCGAGGGTCTTGGCAAGAGGCGTGGAGTTAAAAGATAAAGAATCACACACAAAGTGGGAGTTGTCACAGCTGCTCTTTGCTGATGACACTGTGCTCTTGGGAGATTCTGAAGAGAAGTTGCAGAGATTGGTGGATGAATTTGGTAGGGTGGTGCAAAAGAAGAAAATTAAAGGTGAATACAGGAAAGAGTAAGGTTATGAGGATAACAAAAAGATTAGGTGATGAAAGATTGAATATCAGATTGGAGGGAGAGAGTATGGAGGAGGTGAACGTATTCAGATATTTGGGAGTGGACGTGTCAGCGGATGGGTCTATGAAAGATGAGGTGAATCATAGAATTGATGAGGGAAAAAGAGTGAGTGGTGCACTTAGGAGTCTGTGGAGACAAAGAACTTTGTCCTTGGAGGCAAAGAGGGGAATGTATGAGAGTATAGTTTTACCAACGCTCTTATATGGGTGTGAAGCGTGGGTGATGAATGTTGCAGCGAGGAGAAGGCTGGAGGCAGTGGAGATGTCATGTCTGAGGGCAATGTGTGGTGTGAATATAATGCAGAGAATTCGTAGTTTGGAAGTTAGGAGGAGGTGCGGGATTACCAAAACTGTTGTCCAGAGGGCTGAGGAAGGGTTGTTGAGGTGGTTCGGACATGTAGAGAGAATGGAGCGAAACAGAATGACTTCAAGAGTGTATCAGTCTGTAGTGGAAGGAAGGCGGGGTAGGGGTCGGCCTAGGAAGGGTTGGAGGGAGGGGGTAAAGGAGGTTTTGTGTGCGAGGGGCTTGGACTTCCAGCAGGCATGCGTGAGCGTGTTTGATAGGAGTGAATGGAGACAAATGGTTTTTTAATACTTGACGTGCTGTTGGAGTGTGAGCAAAGTAACATTTATGAAGGGATTCAGGGAAACCGGCAGGCCGGACTTGAGTCCTGGAGATGGGAAGTACAGTGCCTGCACTCTGAAGGAGGGGTGTTAATGTTGCAGTTTAAAAACTGTAGTGTAAAGCACCCTTCTGGCAAGACAGTGATGGAGTGAATGATGGTGAAAGTTTTTCTTTTTCGGGCCACCCTGCCTTGGTGGGAATCGGCCGGTGTGATAATAATAAAAAAAAAAAATGATAACAACATACAAAATACTGCATGGAATAGATAAGGTGGACAGAGACAGGATGTTCCAGAGAGGGGACACAGAAACAAGGGGTCACAACTGGAAGCTGAAGACTCAGACGAGTCAAAGGGATGTCATGAAGTATTTCTTCAGTCATAGAGTTGTCAGGAAGTGGAATAGTCTAGCAAGTGAGGTAGTGGAGACAGGAACCATACATAGCTTTAAGATGAGGTATGATAAGCTCATGGAGCAGGGAGAGAGAGGACCTAGTAGCATTCAGTGAAGAGGCAGGGCTAGGAGCTGAGTCTCAACCCCTGCAACCACAATTAGGTGAGTACATCAATAGGGACAAATTACTGAAATTAACAAAAGTAGATGAAATTCGAAGCCACCTTGAACATAAATTAATAGGTTAATCCTCCTGTGAAGATTAAGAACAGTGAACTTACAGGCTCTAGAAAAGATGAAGAATAAGAGGGAGGGGGGTTGGAAGGATACAAATTTAAAATGGAAAATATGAATAAATAATGTGGAGAAAATTTCTAACCAGGTCAGAATTCGCACTAATGATGTCAGTTTGGATAAATTCCGACTCAGAAAAAAATATAAGAAAGCACTGATTTGGTATTATGAGTTGAAGATGTGTTTAAAAACTTAAGTAGTGCCTGTGAAGCAAATACTTGGACTACTTTTAAAATTAGGTTAGACAAATACAAGTGTGAATGGTAGGCTCTGATGGATCTGCACACCAAGGAATAAATAGTACGTCTACTACAATTGTTCCTGCGTTCTTATACCTGTGTCAGGAGCAGAAAGCCTTTGATTTACTGAAGAACCCCAGGTATCCCTTAGGATGCAACCAATGAGAAAAGACTAGAATTCAAGAAGTTATTTACTGCTGGTTCTGAGGTGACGATGCTCACTACTGCACTACATGACACCTTATCACACGACTTCATAATTGTTTAATCTTATATTTACCTCAACTCTATTATTTCCTTCCATGTAAAATTACTAGCAATGCAAGTTTTTGTACAAGAATTTAGTTTATGAAACTTTTAACACATATATTCCTATGTACAAGCCAGAGCAGAATACTCTCATCTAGTGGCCTTTCCTTTAGCCTGATGTCTAAACCTGACACCTAAGTTTAAAATATATAGCACACTATCAACATATTTCTGATTCACCTCCCTCTACCTGCTACTTTTCACTTCAGACAGTTCTACATTTTATTTCACCTGCACAACAGCATTATCAAGTAGTAACACTAAATATACCAACAATGTTCCAAACTACAGTGGTTTAGCAGGAAGTCGGTGTAAGCAGGTGGAGTAAAGTATGTGTTTTTCAACAGTGAAATCCTCTCCTCTATATAAATCATGTCCTTTTTCCTTCCTTCCCCCTCCCTCTCTCTTCCTACTTTACCATTTCTGCCTATAAGCCTGCCTGCTTCTATATGTGGCAAGATTTGGGTGTTCTCTACTTTTGCATTCAGGTATGGGGACAGGTTTCACAATGACTTCCATTTGGCATGTTTCTGCTTTACAAATAACTCACACTTGGAAAGGATACTTTAGACAATGTTTTGGGCCATCCTGGACAATTACATGTATCAAGTTACAACTCTGCCTGAGGCCCACGATTCCACACAATCATTAATCAGATCGCAGCTAACAATCCAGAAATGTCTACACACACCATATCAAGATATAAACGTCACAAAAGTCTGCTTCTGACAAGACACGAGGTAAACCTCATCACTGCAGAGCTCACAATTACGGACTGACGCTCTTAGTGCACTGTAGGAGATGTACTGCACACATTTCCTCACCCCACGCCTTATCACCTTATCTCCTGGAGTTTTATAAGACATGTACTAGCTATCACAACAGCAAAGAAAATGATAAGCCGGATAACAAGAGCCTTCAAGAAATGGGATGCAAAGCTATTGGCTCATACTTTTTTTTTTAAAGAACTTGTATTCTCTAGTCTGAACATTTTTACACTGACAAGCACAACCCCATTTAAGGCAGGAGAAACTGCGAATCTCAAAAACATACAGAGACCTTTTACTGCTGGTGTAAATTTGAATTAATTAATTACTGGGAATGCATGGAATGCAGGTGAGAAAAATACTTGGGAAAAGGGAAGGCTGGTTCCATATCTACATATCAAAGTAATTAAAATGGTATAAAATACTGACAGGTTGTTGGGTAAGACACATATGCAACAGTTAGGTATCTTTATTTCAAAATGCTTTGCCTACACAGTAGACTTCTTCAGTCGAGTACAGAAAAGTTGGTAGAAGCAGAAGTGATGTGAAGACAATGTAATCAGTCCATCAACCTTGAAGACGTAGTTTCGAGGTGTCTTGCCTAACAACCTGTTGGTGTTTTACACCATTTTAATATTCACTCTTGTCAGACACTGCAACACAATGGTATCTTGGTACAGAACAGAAAACACCTTGGACAACTTCTACAAGTGAGAATGGTTGGATTTGAGGGGGACGTGACCTCTCAATGATTACATTCTTTCTTCTACTAGTGGCCTACACCTCACCCCCTGACAGTATATAAGGCTCCATACTGTCATTTCAACTGCACACTGTTTCATACTATGGAACAAATACTCTTCTCCAGGCTGAGGGACTGACCACCTCAAAACTACGTCTTCAAGGGTGATGAACTGATTACATTGTCTTCATATCTCTTCTGCTTCTACCAACTTTTCTGCACTCGACTGGAGCCTACTGTATAGGCGAACCGTTTTGAAATAAAGATACCTAACTGTTGCTTATGTGTCTTACCTAACAACATATCGAAATTAGTTCTTTCGAAAACACGATGCAAGGCAGTTGGTGTAAAATGCTGTCTTAAGGGAAAATTACGTTCTTAATTAGCTACGCTGCGGTGCCTATGTTGGAGTGTGTGCATTCCAGCACTACAAGCCTGGGTGACCAGGCATCAATCAGGACAAGTCTTTAAGGCAGGGCCATATGGCAATGATCCCAGTAATTATCTAGTAAAAAAAAGTATGAATGATGCATGTATACTGACAATCAAGTTTGGTACAAGGACGTATTTGCAACATGTGGATATTTTATTTAGGCGACGTATCGCTAACCAGGAGCATTATCAAGTGCCAATATACTGTGCACTGAGGCTTGATACAACTCACGACGGGACAAAGATGGGAAAAAAAAATTTTCAAACGATGCAAGTGTATCCATTCACAAGTAAACTACAGTTCAGGGGCCCACCTGCCACCAATCACACAGATAAATCTGGTTCACCCACTACACGCATCAAATATGTTATTAGTTACATCATTTTGGCCAAGTTCCTTATCACAAGCTTTATCTTGCACCAGAGTCTCTTGGTCTACCTTTCTCAGGCCCTCTCACGCACAAATGTACACCCACCTTCACACAAAATATATGCTCTCTCTCTCTCTCTCTCTTGCTGCTACATAGACCAAGTATCTATTGACAAGTGCCTTTGACAACTAGTAACTACTCTCAGTAGTAGTACCAGTTCCTAGTAACCAGTTACCAGTAACCAGTGTACCAGTAGATGACTCACTACCAACCGTCTCTGCGTGAATCACTGACTGTATTCATATTGCTGCTGACCATAGCAGGATTTCAAACACCCTCACTCGTAGGCACTCATGGGTCAGTCAAGATAGAGAGCAGAGAGAGGCAGGACGGCTGTTGGCGCTTTCCCACACATTCCGTTATATTATACGTACTACCAGCCTACAGTGTTCGCATCGCTATTGGGCCGTGCGGACGTGCTGCGCAGTAGCTCCTGATTGAGTTGGCTTTTGCGCAGTGTTGACGTGTACTTGGCTCTGTGAAGACCTGTTTGAGCGCTCTCTAGAATTGAAGCAAGATGCCCTCCATCGAGCAACTTTACCAACAGCTTAAGGAAGAATTGAGGTTGGCGAATATGGAAATTCGGCGACTGACCGAGGAAAACAAAAAGATTCGGAGTAGTCCTCCTGTTTTGAGTCCTCAGATCAAGAAGGGAAACTGGTCAGTGGCTGGACAGCAAGGAAAGAAGTTGACGATCAAGAAGACGAATGGAAAGGTAGAAACGATGAAGAAGAAAGAGACTGCCGTGGAAACTGTTGTGGAAACATCCAATACATTCTCAGTGCTACCCGACGAATGCGAGTCGACTACTGGGAATGTCACGACGAAAGACATTAAGGAAGGTACGAATATTGTTGTTGTTGGGGATAGCCAAGTTAGGTATATGGATAGGGCGTTCTGCTTGAAGGACAGGAGTAGGAGACAGAGAGTTTGCTTTCCTGGGGCTGGGATGGAGGATATTGTTAGCCGTCTGGATGACATCATGAGAGCAATCCTATTATCTGTCTCAGTGCTGGAGGCAACGATGTTGGCAGATGTAGGAGTGAGGACCTGATTAGCAGGTATAGGTCAGCAATAGAAATAATTAGAAGTAAGGGTGGAAACCCTCTCGTATGTGGTATTTTGCCAAGGAGGGGAGTCGGAAATGAATGGTTGTCCAGGCCAATTGGTGTCAATTGCTGGCTGGACAAATACTGTAAGGAAAATGCGGTAACATTCATTGACAACTGGGACCTCTTCTATGGCAGAAATGACATGTATGCTAGGGATGGGGTTCACTTATCTAGGTGTGGGGTGGGAGCACTGGCAACTGCAGTGGAGGGAGCAGTTAGGACTTTAAACTAGGAATAGTTAGTGGTATGGGTTTTGGCAGGAAAACAGTGAAGTCCCAGTGTAGTAATATTACGAGTTCTAGGGGAACTAGTAATAATAAGAACGAGATAGATATTGAAAAGCCAGGGACCTTGGGTGATAAGGACAGTAATAGGTTTAGTAAAAAAATAGAAATGAGCAGGAAGGGTAAAGTGAAAGGAGAGTCTTTCAATGTTTATTATGCTAATTGCCGTAGTGCTAGGAATAAGATGGACGAGTTGAGATTAGTTGCTAGTGTAGGTAACATTGATGTATTTGCCTTAACTGAGACGTGGTTTAATTCAAAAAGTCGGGACATGCCTGCGGAATGTCATATTCAGGGTTTTAAATTGTTCCAAGAAGATAGAAGTATTGGGAGGGGGGGGGTGGCATTGTATGTCCGAGATCGCTTGAACTGTTGCATAAAAACGGGTATTAAGTCTGAAGTAACACATACAGTCTGTTTGGATAGAATTTTCAGAGGGGCATGAAAAACTGATTTTAGGAGTGATATACCGTCCCCCAAACTTAGATAGGGACCAAGGGAAACTACTATGGGAGGAAATTGTTAAGGCCACAAGGCACGATAATGTAGTAATTCTAGGAGACTTTAACTTTAGTCATGTTGATTGGAATTTCTTGACTGGGAATTTAGAATCATACGACTTCTTAGAAGTATTTCAGGATTGTTTTTTGAAGCAGTTTGTGACAGAACCTACAAGGGGAAATAACCTGCTTGACTTAGTTATGGCAAAAAATGAATCCCTTGTTAATAATTTAGAAATTTCAGAGGAACTGGGTGCTAGCGACCACAAATCAATTACATTTAGCATTGAATGGAAGTACGATAGTAGCGATAACTCAGTAACAGTCCCAGATTTTCGCTTAGCAGATTACGATGGGCTTAGAGAACACTTATCATCTGTTGACTGGGGTAACGAAGAGAGCTATCAATATGACAGTTTTCTGAACACTATACATGCTGCTCAAAGAGCGTTTATCCATATAAAAGAAATTAGATCAAATAGAAATGACCCAAAATGGATGAATAATAGGCTCAAATATCTACTAGGGCATAAGAAAGGAATTTATAGGCGTATCAAAAGAGGTGAGGGTCATCTTATGAATCAGTATATTGACATTAAGAGGGACATTAAAAGGGGATAAGAAAAGCTAAAAGGGACTATGAAATTAAAGTTGCTAGGGATTCTAAAACTAACCCAAAAAGTTTTTTCCAGGTCTATAGAACAAAAGTTAGAGATAAGATAGGTCCCCTTAAAAATAACTATGGGCACCTTACTGACAAAGAGAATGAAATGTGCTTGATTTTAAATAATTATTTTCTCTCAGTTTTTACACAGGAAGACACTAACAATATTCCAGTAATTAATTTTTACAGTGGGCTAGAAGAAGATAAATTATGTAACATCACAGTCACTAGTGAGATGGTTGTGAAGCAGATAGACAGACTGAAGCAAAATAAGTCGCCGGGTCCTGATGAGGTTTTTTCAAGGGTTCTTAAGGAATGCAAAATGGAACTCTGTGAACCATTAACTAATATTTTTAATTTATCTCTTCAATCAGGTGTAGTGTCTGATATGTGGAAGATAGATAATGTAACTCCTATTTTTAAAACAGGGGACAAGTCGTTACCGTCAAATTACCGCCCAATAAGCCTGACCTCAATTGTAGGCAAATTAACTAGAGTCAATTATAGCTGAGATTATAAGAAGCCATCTCGATAAGCATAGCTTGATTAATGATACTCAGCATGGATTCACAAGAGGCCGGTCTTGTCTAACTAATTTATTAACTTTCTTCAGTAAAGCTTTTGAGGCTGTTGACCACAATAAAGAATTTGATATTATTTACTTAGATTTTAGTAAGGCTTTTGATAGAGTTCCGCACCATAGACTGTTAAAGAAAGTGGCAGCTCATGGCATTGGGGGAAAAGTGCTCTCGTGGATCGAGTCATGGCTCACTGACAGGAAGCAGAGTGTGTCCATAAATGGGGTTAAATCCGAGTGGGGATCTGTAACAAGTGGCGTTCCACAGGGATCAGTCTTGGGCTCGTTGTTGTTTATAATATATATCAATGATCTTGATAAGGGAATTACTAGTGATATGAGCAAATTCGCCGATGACACAAAGATAGGTAGGAAAATTGATTTAAACGTAGATGTTATGGAACTTCAGGAGGATTTAAACAAACTCTATTCTTGGTCAGAAAAGTGGCAGATGCAGTTCAATGTAGATAAATGCAAGGTTCTGAAGCTTGGGAGTGCCCATAACCCTAGTACTTATTTATTTATTTATTTATTTATTTATTTACAATTTGAGCACACATACAGAGGTACAAAAAAAAATACAGATAAGAGCAGCATGCCAAAGCCACTTATACTATGCATAGCATTACGAGCTGGCTTAAAATTAACTTAAGATTAACTAAGCAATGATGAAATCAGTGATAAAACATTAATGTAAACAGATTACTATAAAGCACAAGTGAGTATTACAAAGACAGGTCATATGGTTGCATGCATTGTTGTACATTCAGTCGTATGGAGAATTCTGTTAGGTAGTGTATTTAAAAAAATAGTAAAGTTAGATTGGGTTTTAGGTTTAACATTTATGTGATATAATTGTGAGAAACATTTAAGATATACAATTTATAAGGTTCAGTTATTCAGTATTTATTTGGTTTTGGGTGAGTAAGTGATCTTTGAGAAGAGACTTGAATTTATAAACAGGTAGTGTTTCTTTTATATTTATAGGTAATGAATTCCAGATTTTAGGGCCTTTTATGTGCATTGAGTTTTTGCATAGTGTGAGATGGACATGAGGAACATCAAAGAGTGATCTGTGCCTTGTGTTATGGTCATGTTTTCTGTTGAGGTTGGCAAGGAGATGTTTGAGGGGAGGGTTAATATCAGAGTTAAGTGTTCTATGTATGTAATAGGTGCAGTAATAAGTATGGATGTTTTGTATGGTGAGTAGGTTTAG